GTAGGATCGATCTAATTAGTTGTCATGTCTTATGGAGAGAATACACTGTGTTTTGTGTGTAGGATAGATCTAACTAGTTTTTCATGTTTTATGCAGAAAAAACAAGATATTAAAAACAGAAGAAAAAAACATAATATTTATGAAAACAGAGCACATTCCTTGATTTCCCCTACACACGGAATGTAACAGACCTAACAATCTCCCTCGTTGGTAAATTTATTTTGTAAGAGAACTTATTCCTTGATTTTTTTTCTTTAATACGATATATATAATGTGTGTCCTTCAAAGCTTTCTCGAGGGAATTTTCTGGTTTTTTTGCAATGTTATGATGGAAACTTTTAAGTCAAATTATATTACTGGAAAATTTAGATGTTGAGATAATCAATTTTAAGCAGCTTGATCAAAACACTGCTGCTTGCAATACATGATCATATTATATGGAATCTGAAAGCTGAAATGAAAAATCTCTCCCAAAAAAAAAAACTGGAAATGTTGTCATAGTTACTTAATTCCCGACCTTTGTAAATAAATATTACAAACTTCATTTTTTTATAGCATAATATCTCAAAATACATTTCTTTAAGTACTCAATTAATGATTAATTGAAAAAACAAACTTTCTTCATTAGTGATTACTGTAACAAAAAACCCTTTATATGGCGATAACGAATGCATGAGCCAGGAATGTTGTTACCAAGCGTTTGATGGCAACTGCCATTTGCTAACTTACAATAGAGAACTACAACAAATTTAAAGCCGGTAATCGCATCAACAGAGACTCGAGCTGAGGCAGCAAGATCAAGATCCTCTTTCGAATCTGTTTCATCATTGAAGATGGGCACTCTTTCGCTAATTACCTTTGCTTAGCTGTAAAAACCTGCAATTTTGAATGCTAAATGATCAATTTGCATACCTCAGACATATTTTGTTTGACGGACTACGAAGAACACGGTATTAAGTCTCCAGCAATCTTTACTATTGAAGGACACTTTCAGGAATGGAAGGGCATGTACAATACCTCAAATTCTGGTACAAGATGAATCAAAGTCATCGGGAGCAACACGCGCAATCCAGTTGTTCAATGTCCGCTTGACATCAGTGTGATTAACATAAGCCAACTCATACATACTACACAAGTTAACCACCAAGCTCTCGTTCAAAGCAGCGGTTGGTACTCTCTCTAATGCACTCTCCATCACCTTAATCGCATCCGATAAATCTCTCAAGGACATCAAACAAAGAGCTTTATTATTAACCGCAACAATATCCGAGTTATCTCTTTCAATGCATTCTTCGTACTCTCTCACAGCAGAAACATAATCCTTCCCCACAACATAAACCAAAGCCTTATTCCTACCCACAAGATTCTTGAATTGCGATTCATTCAATAACCCATTGTTCTTTCCTTCATTCAACATCTTCTCCACTCGATTAAACGTCGTTTTCGCTCCTTCTACATCACCAAACTGCATTTGAACAGACCCTAGCTTCGATATCAAAACCGCGTCTAAAGGATCACGATTTATCAATTCCTTAATCAAATCCAACGATATACCAAACTCCTTGTGACCTAAATGAAACCCTAACAAGCAATTCATCACAAAGGTCTCTCTTTTCTTCCACAATTCAACAGAACAATCAAAACTCTGTGATTCTTTCTCTCTAACTCTATCTCTAACGAAATCAAGCAATGTGTATAACCGATCTAACCCTTCTTGACGATTACCAAGCTTAGTCGGAATCAAAGCGTAAAGCCATCGTAAAGTGAAAGGAACCATTGATCCTTTCCGATTTGGGTAGATCTCAGGGAACGATTCGTACCTGTAATGAGTCCCATCGAAATCGTGCAATGAATTAAGCTCATGAGCAGCTTCATCGGATCGACGTAGCTTCGCGAGAGCGATGACTTGGTAAGTCAGATAAGTGAGATGCTCGTGAGGCTTTGTGAGGAGGAAAAGAGCTCTGGCTTGAGCTATCTTCTCGAGAATCGCTTCCCATGAGCCACGTGTAGAAAGCTCGTGAAGGGAGCCGAGATCGTGGGTCAATTCGTCGAGGGAATTGAATCGTTCCGGTTGTAGATCGGTGACGGATTTGAAATCTGATTCGAATGTCGTCGTCGTTGGTTCGGGTCTAGCTTCCTCCTCTGCATCGATGTTGGTTTGTACGGTGGTGGAATCGGTGGAGGAGGGATTGAAATCGGGTCGGGTTTCGGATTCGGGTAAATCCGGATCAATTGGTGGAGAAGATGAATCGGTGAACATTGTGGAAGGGGAGAATTTTAGCTTCTTCTCTCTCACAATCCGAAAGTTGGTTCTTTTAATTCTCTGTTGTATGTATTTTGTTTTGTTTTGACAATTTAGAAACATGTGAGTAATAATCGTAAGATTTGGAAACTAGAGGGGAAATGTTTGGGG